CTAATTATAAATGGAAGTTATATATTAATGTAATGGCAGCGAAAATGTACTGCGCAGTAGTTCCTGTGATCTCTCCTTGCCATCCTGACATTAAAGCGGCACAAGTCACTTACGTTGTCTCCGCTTCTGTCCGTGTCTGCCGTTAGTCATCTCAACGTACCTTTATTTCACACTAACACAGTAAAGTTCGAGCCGACACACACACACACACACACACCAACACACACACACACCCCCACACACACACACACACATTTATCGCGTAAGATCACACACACACTCTCTCTCTCTCTCTCTCTTCTCTCTCTCTGTCTCTCTCTCTCTCTGCTCTCCTCTCTCTCTCCGAGAGTCTGACTCTCCGGAGTCCCTCGAAAGTGTAGATATAATTGCTTTAGTAGTTTAGGTCTTATTACATTACATTAAAGTTTCATAAATATGTATAAAAGAGTGATTTCCTATAATTTTGTATGTATAGTTTGTATATTATAGTATATTTTCATGGTTTATGATTAAGTTTCGAAAACTTTTTGAGTAGGAAGTATCCGTCGAGTTCTTTCCCAAAGGAAGAGATCACGTTAAATCAGCCTCGAGGTAAAGGTAAACCCCGTGCATCAGAGTGTGTCAGCAACTCCGAAGGTAGAAATACTCAGGCCTATGGTCAACAGACTTCTCTTTAAGAATCGGTAGACTGTTGAGGTCTTAGTAGAGACTTGTCCCTGCTAGTGGTTCAGATGATTTCTCTGTAGGGACTAGCTATAATTATAGAAGCTTGTCTGCTTGCATAGGAAATCTTAATGGACAACTTTTTAAGACTGACACACTTAGGTGGACTGGTCCAGTCGATCACTACCGAGAGACCGTGCATCGAGACTCGAGTTCGTCAAGGTTTCAAACCGAAAGAGTTAATGTTTCAGGAAAATAAGAGTGTCTTGTCTCCCTTGGTCTTTTCTAAACTTATTAACTACTTGGTTTGACTGACCTGAACTCCGACGTCTCGATTGACCGCTCTCGTTAGTGTGACTTGGGACCAGCACCTAAGTGTGCGTCTAGTTTAAGTTTCTTACAGTCCTCGCGCAAGCTTCTTAATTTCGCTAGTCCTACACGAGATATTTAACACCTAGCCGACAAGTCTCTCTAGAACCTCAACCAGTCCTACCCTTCTTAAGAAGAAAGTCTGTGATTCCGTGAGGCTGAGTTGAATTTCTACTTCTGATGTGGCTGAACACCATATGGTCTGATGCTGTTCTACTGTTCCTACGAGCGCTGTACGTGTCTCCTTTTGGAAGATTGATCGATACTTCCACTTCGAAAAGTTCAGAAAACTTTCATATAATTAATAATAAATTATACAAAGCATATTTTAGTGTCTCTGGACATGTAACTGTGAATATTATATGGAATATCACCCTCTTTTATAGTCATTATTTAGGTAGCTTTGAACTTTAATGTATGGTAATATATCAGCCTAACACTACTAAAAGATATATATCTACTTTCGAGTCGGACTCGAGTAGTCAGACTTCTTTCGGAGAGAGGAGAGGGTAGAGGACGAGAGAGACAGAGAGAGAGAGAGAGAGGGAGAGCAGAGAGAGAGAGAGAGAGTGTCTCGTGGTGATTACCGCGATAAATCGTGTCGTGTGTGTGTGTGGGGGTTTCGTGTGTGTGGTTGTGCGTGTCGTGTGTGGTCGTGTGTGTGTCGGCCGAACTACTGTGTCCGTGTCGAAAATAAAGGTACGTTGAGAGACTAGACCAGACCACACGAACGGAGACAACGTAAGTGACTTGTGCCCTTTAATGTCAGCGATGGCAGAGACCAGATCACAGAACTAACTCCAGTCACATTTCGTGCCAATTACATAACTGTAAAACTGCCATCTTTAATAAAAATGGTGTACGTCACCTTAAATAACGATGTATAAGTGTGTCTAATAAGTGTCCTTCGTCGTTATTCGGCAGTTTATTATTAGTCTGTCCCCTCGAGGCGTGCGGACGGACGGCGATCCCACCACGACGTCGCTGCCAGTCGTGGGGGAAAGGAAGCGCGGGTACGCGCCTGACGTCCAAAGACCCTCGAAAAAAGCAATGTGGAATTTATTGGCTACATATTACACAGATTATTCACAGCGGAAGCAGCAATAACCGTCAAATAATAATTCAGACAGGGGAGCTCCGCACCGCCTGCCTGCCGCTAGGGGGTGCTGCAGCGCCCTCAGCTCCCCCTTCCCGCGCCCATGCAGCGGACCTGCAGGTTTCTGGGAGTTTTTTCCAGATATTTGGAGCATAATAACTGAACGCTGCTTCTCCATGTTTAGTTCTGACTCTGGGGACAGAAAGCTGACCAGTCCCTGAAGACCTGAGAGATCTGGATGGTTCATCATTTAGCAGAAGATCAGAAATTTATTTTGGGCCTAAACCATTCAGTGCTTTTTAAACCAGCAGCAGTATTTCGAAATCAATTATTTGACACACAGGAAGCCAGTGTAAAGACTTCAGAACAGGAGTGATGTGATCCACTTTCTTAGTGTTAGTGAGGACTCGGGCAGTGGAAGATCTTGGAGTGGTTGTTATGATATAAAATGATCTCCAAAATGCATTTAATATCATAATCGATGAAGTTCTCAGTCATTCAAAACTCTTTAATGTAACAACGACTTTAAGCCACACATCTTTGTCTCTTCTTGCCAGTGCCCTGCACTCCTGCAAACGTCTCCTTGGCGGTGGACTGTGAGGACAACACTCTGACGACGTCCTGGACAGAGAGCTCAGGAGCGGACTCGTACATCGCCACGGTGCAGGACAGTTACGGTCAGACCACCAGCTGCCAGGCCATGAACGAGGGCTCCTGCAATGTGACCGGGCTCGGCTGCGGTCAGATCTTCCATGTGTCTGTTGTCTCATCTGATGGGTACTGCAACAGCCCGTCCACTCCTATGGAGGACACGCCTTCAGGTAGGATGGAGACAGACGTGTACCGTACGTTTTGAAGAACATAAACAGATTTTAAAGCATACAGAGGGAAAAGATGAGACTTAAAATTACAGTTACAGTTGAGCTTCTTTTGAACCTCTATGGTTTATAACATTAATTATATAATATGATTGTGTAACCACACACTTAAAAAGAAAAACTAATAATTTTAGCTCATACAAAGATTGAATTTTGCTATATCTACAACATGTAAATACAATGGTGTATTTGAAGCTGCTCCAAACGACTATTACATTTGATTTTGAATTAGAATTATTTCAGTGCAATTTTAACTTTAACTAACAAGAATACATATTATATTGCTCTTAGTATTAAAGCTTTAGACCACATTAAAGGTATGGTATCTAAGAATGGAGAAACCAGCTCGAGTGAGCTAGAATTTGAAAGTACACAACCGAAAAAAATCTGCCTCTTCCTTCAGACTTCCTTATGCTGCGTTCACACCATAGACCAGGGGTCGGCAACATTTTTGATATGAAGTGCCATTTTAAAAAAAAATTGTTATCAGCGTGCCAACGATCGGTGGGTTGAGGAGCTTGACGCTCGTCAACTATCGGCAGGAGGGCGGGTGAGCCTCGCTGCAGGGAAGCAGTGTGTGGACCTGTCAGNAAAAGAAAAGTCTTCAGCCTGGATTTAAAAGTAGTAAGAGTTTTAGCGGACCTGCAGGTTTCTGGGAGTTTGTTCCAGATATTTGGAGCATAATAACTGAACGCTCAGTTATTATGCTCCAAATATCTGGAACAAACTCCCAGAAACCTGCAGGTCCGCTAAAACTCTTACTACTTTTAAATCCAGGCTGAAGACTTTTCTTTTTGCCGCTGATTTTAATTTAACTATTCACATCTTAAACTGCACTGTAACTTTTATTCATGTATTTTTTCTATTAATGTTTATTTTATTATCTTTTCTTTTTAATGACTGATTTTAAAAATGCCATTTTCTTAATGTCTTTCATTTTTGTAAAGCACTTTGAATCGCCTTGTGTTGAAAGGTGCTATATAAATAAACTTGCCTTGCCTTACTTTAAGAAGTATCCATAAGTTAGCAGTTATAGCTTAAACATACCACTCTTGATTGTCACGCTGTCGCTCAGTTTGCTCAGGCAGTCCTGGTCCTCTGCCAGCACAGTCGCTGTGTAATACTCTCCACAGCTCAGACCCGTCAGATCACACTGGTTTTCGAAGGAGCTGCACTTGTCGACATGTCCATCGGTACTCACGGCACTCACTCTGTAAACCTGTCCTCCCCTGCTGTAGTTCCACGACATGGAGGCCACGTTGTTGCTGCAGCTCAGTCTGGATTTCAGGTTCTGAGGAATGCATGGCTCTGACGGGGAAAGGCCAATATAGAAATGTAGCATTTTAATTGTTTATTTTACACCTGATGACTGCATTTTTTTCTTCTTTAAAAAGGTCCCCTATTTTTACAATTTTTTTTTCAATATATTATAGGTCTCAGTTATATACAAAACATGTCTCTGAAGTGTTTGGCTCCAAATACCAAACAGATCACCCATTGCAGCATCCCATAATCCCCTCTGTTTCAGCCCTGTTACAAAAAGGGCTAATTCTCTGGTTGCGTTCCGATAATCCAAAAATCAGCTCCTAAATTCTAACCCTATCTCCTATTCCTTGACCTCTGAGTGAAACGTCACGGGGTTAAGGGATAGTCGATAGGAGAATTCAAAAGGACTTAGGAGAAGAGACTGCGGTACTTTAGAGAATCCGACTGCACTTTCACTATCAGACGTGTTTATGATGCGCCAGCGGACGTCATTGTGTGCATCTGCTGCTGTGGGGAAACTATGGAAACTACAGTTTTCTATAGCGGACTACAACATGGATGTTTAATAAGAACGAGGGACTCATCTAGAGACTCTGCACCGTGCTCTGATGCTGTTGTTTTATGCTTTATGAACGTGGACAACAGAGAAACATATTCTTCATGACCAAAGTTGGAATTGAAATAAAAAAGGAAAGTGAAATTTATGCTCATCACCCTCTCCCTCCGGTCCACATTAATACAAATGATCCCAATACGTATGATTGTATGAAAATATCTTAAAATAAATACAAATGTATTTATTATAAACGTTAGTCCTTAACATCTATCACTGTGTACATCACCATTCAAAGTTGAACAACCCCCACACAGCTCAGTAAAGACTGTGAAATGTTGACTTTATTTGATCATTTCAGTAAAAACTAAACGTTCATATTTCTCTTTTTGATTATAATACTGATGAACATTCAAAACAAAGCACTTTGGCAAGTTACCACATACGTTTTAAAATGCTTAATAAGCACCGTAACTTTCATGATATAACTTCTCCGTCATAATCGTTTGTTTCCGTGAACGGCCGACTGTTGTGTGACGGCAAATGCTGCGGCTGCAAGGCATTGTGGGGCAGCATTTTCTCCTCTCCTTTCGGTAAGGGAGGTCCAGTGGTTCCTAAGCTAAAGGAGGTTATAAAGGAAGTTTGAAACCTCCTTTCCTTTCATTTAGAGAATTGGAACGACACTTATCATGGCTGCCACTGACGTACTTCCGGGTCATTTCACTTGGTTAGGAAGGTTCCTAAGCTAAATGGACTATTGGAACGCAACCTACGTCTGTTACTTTAGATGAAAATAAGGAGCCACTCCCCATGCCCCTCTGCGAAATGTTTGGTTAAAAAGAACACAATGGTGCTCTATGAGGAGATTCAGGTGATACGGTGGGCGGGGGTTACCTAAGTTGGTTATTGGCTAATGGTTACACAAGCCAAAAAAACATTATGACATCACAAAGTGGACCAAATCTGATCAGGATTTTATATAAATGGATCAGGACAAAAAGAGAGGGAATCTTTTTTCCTGAAACTTTCAGAATCAATTTACACAGAGGGGACAAATATGTATGTAAAAAAACATGAACATTTTGATTTTGCATAATATGTGACCTTAAATTCCACTTTCTTTAACCGCTTTCTGTAAATAGTAGTGTATGCATGATATGACATGTTCAGTTTATACCTGTCCTGACGATCTTCCTTTCGCTCTGGGTGCTGTTGCATGTTCGTCCCTCAGCTACGACGAGCAAAATAAACATTTCTCCACACGGAAGATCGGTGATGTTACAGCTGTGGTTTTGCGTGGTGCAGCAGTAGGTGGTGCCATCGTTCATCTGTTCCAGCGTAGCCGTGTATGTTACCGCACCAGGAATGGCCATCCAGTCGATGCCGAATGTGCCAGTGTTGCAATCCACTGACGTGTTAATGTCCAAAGGAGGACAGGGAGCTGGGGAAGGAGTAACACTGTGAGATACAACAACAACTACAGTGCTACATTAGATTAGGATAATGATGCTACAGATAGTATCCTTCACTGAAAATATCAAACTTTAGTGGGGGTTTCTCAGATAAGTAGCTAATATCTTCTTAGTTTACTTTCTACCAATAAATCCTCTATGTATAGACTATGTATCCATTTTCAAACAGTTGTGGTGACTATTGCCAGTCAACATCACATAGGGATTGCTTACTCTGATTAACTAGTTGCGCTCTCCAATGAAGACAAAGTTATGGCTTGAAATACCATTTATATTACAACCAAAAACAGTGTGTGTATGGCACCACGCTCAAAAACTGTTTGTTCAATCACTTAAATTAATTTCAGCCTTTACAGCACAGTATGACTGTGTTCAAACTTTCTTTTCTCTACCTGTCTCAGTTATGACAGCATTGCTTTGTGCACTGGGGCACTGCTGGTCGCGGGCCTCGAGGGTGAAGGTGAGGTTTTTGCTGCACATCAGCGACGGCAACGAACACATTCCCTTTGACGTCGAGTTACACTCAAAAGTCTCTTCGTAGCCCTGGCTGTCGGTAGCGATGATGACGTACGCCTCAGCCCCAGCAGACTCCTCAAACATCACCCAGGCAGAGTTTGCCAGGCAGTCGATCTCCACTTCAGACAGGTGAGGCGCACAGGGGACTGCAGGGAACCAGGAACAGGTGGCGATTAGGTTTATTCAAAATGACTGTTTTCACGGTGTCAAAAAAGAAGACACATAAATAAGATCTATCAAGAGTAAATTATTATATCCCAAAAAGAAAGAACAGTGTGGAGGAAATTCTAATTCCCTTAAGAGAAACGGACAAAGTATGACTTTTGCTATATTTAATAAAGTAATAAAGAAAGTCTATATACAATTTAAATCGATCTCAAATGCAGGAACAGAGCAACTTCATCCTCAAAGGATAACATGGCTTTGCACCCAGAACACAGCTTACAGTCACACTATATAGTAGAGAAAATAGCCAACTGGTCCCACCCATCAATTATTTTAGGCATTATCTAAATATCACAACCATTAAACCATAAAACCCCCCAGTCCTTTAACCATTTGCAAATCCACCTTTTGCCCTTCCTGAAATGTAAATCCTAAACTTATGTCTCTGTTAAACATATATAGGGATACAAATACAATTTAAAAGAGTAAAAGGCAAGCAGAGTATGAGACATAACCTATAGATATTATTTAAATGATTATATGAACATTTGACAAGACAGTGTGTACCTCTTTATTGAAGTAAAACTAAAATATTGATCCTTGCCTGTCTTGATCATCTTTGTGGGGCTGTCTCTGCCCACACATCCGTCCCTGGAGGGTGTGATGGTGACGTTGTAGTCCGTCCCACACTGCAGCGTGGTGAGATCACAGCCGATTGACCCGCTGCAGTTTTGCCGTTGACCTGCAGCATCAACTGCCGTCACCGTGTACACAACCCCTGACATGTTGTTGTTCCAGGTTACAGATACAACGCCGGTGGAACAGTTTACAGCGGGGAGGAAGTTCAGGAGAGGACACGGAGCTGAGATGAAGAAGAGGAGGAGATGAGGTGAGGATAGAAGAAGACAGTAAAACTCAAATGTCCTGCACCATTACATATATATAATGGACAGAATATTTTCTAAAATGAAAATAACAGCCAAATACCAAACATGTAAAATCAGACTATTTGTATTCAAATAGACAAAGTTTTGTATGTAATTCAAACTGGTTGTACCATCTATCAAACTATTCTGGCAGCACAGATAATTTTTTGATAAAACCACTACGATGCCAAATAAGGACAATCCCACATAAAGTTGTCTTTAGGAAGGAATGTCTGTGAAACATGAAGAAGACGCCATGTGAATAAGCTCATCTTGATAACACGTTGATTCAAACATGTTGTCACCAAATATGATTTTATAATACCTACCTGTATGAATCACTTTAACATCACTCTTGGCTCCTTTGAATAACTGTATGCTCTCATTGAATGAAGTTTTTGAGTTTTTTTGTTCTTAAAGAGCTGATATATTGGTTTACGCACCTGTAAGGACCTGCTGTGTGGGGCTATGGGAACTGTTGCAAGCCTCATCTTGAGCCACCACTGTCAGGTTGTAGGTCAGATCGCAGAGCATGTTGGGCACTACGCAGTGATGCTTAACCGTCTGGCAGGTGCTGACGTGTCCTATGCTGCTGACCACGGAGGCGCGGAACTGAGAAACGTCACCCGTCGACTGCCAGGTAACATTTAAGACGCCGGACAGACAGTCCAGGTCGTTCTGTACGTTCTGTGGCACACAGGGAGCTGAACAGAACGGGGACAGTGGTTAGAGACGAGCCAGACCCTCACGTGTTGCGAGCTGCTTGAGCGAACTTATTCAAATAATCTCCCAATAACAAAACCAATGAACTATGACAAAACATAATGAAATAGAGCTGGAATCGAAATAAAAATATCTAAAATGAACTATTACTAACAGTTGATATAAATAATCTTTAGTGCATATGCACATTTTGAACCAAACTTTAAAGCTTTGCTACATATTTTTGAAACACGTTTGAAACATTTTGTCCAACTCATTTACACGTCCGTAAATAACAATAATATTAGCGGATTATTCTGTTCTTCATGAAAAGTTGAAAATAATACTATAATACTTAAACAATAATGAAAATGTACAGGAATGTAGTAAATGGATTTAGTCTAAATGCAATTGTTGTACTTTCTGGTTATAACATCAAACTACTCTGGCAGCACAGATCTTTTTTTGATAAAACCACTAGGAGATAACGACATTTAGGAAGGAATGTATGTGAAACATGAAGAAGAAGACATGTGAATGAACTCATCTTGATTCACACATGTTGTTAAAAGTCACCAAATATGACTTTATAATACCTACCCGTATGAATCACTTTAACATCACTCTTGGCTCCAATGCATTTTTCGTCAACACCAGCAACATAAACGTGGTACTGCTGTCCACAGGGCAGACCAGAGATCTGGCAGCTGGTGCTGCTGGTGTTACAGGACCAGCTGCGGCCCTGTTGGTCTTCGGCCACGGCTGTGTAGGACACAGAGCCCTCTGAGGCCTGCCACCACACCGAGATGTTGTTCGATTCACAGGAAGAGTTCACTTTCACATTGGTTGGAGGGCAGGGAGCTGGAGAAGGGAAAGAAGAATGGCGAGTTAGTTAGTTTAAATGCATTTTGCATGCGATAAAAGAGTAAATCTGTATTAAAGAATAGATTTTAAATATATCTTAAAGAGATAGATACTGATTTTTCTCTGCTCATGTCCAAACAGTAAGAGGATCAAAGCAATTGGTAAATAGTTTAAAAATAGTATTTAAGTAGAATAATATTTTATAAAATGATGCCTGAAATAATTAGACAAACAGTTGTGAAAATTATAGAAAATTATTTTTAAAAACAGCTAACAAAGTTGGTAAAAGTCATTCAAAAAGGTTGAAATATTTTTGATGAATTAAATATTTTTGTGGGTACAAATAATAGGATGGTTGGTTCAAAGAAGTCAATATACCGTTTAAAAACTAATCTAGTTGAAAAAATAAGATGAAAGTAGCTGGCAGCCAAACTCATACTCAAAGCATAAGAAGTCACCTGTGATGATTTGCAGCCAGTCCTGGGCCGGACTGGGGCAGTTCTGTCCCTGACCGCTGACTCTCAACCTGTAAGACCGTCCGCAGGTCAGAGAGCTGATGTTGCAGGAGGAGCCGTTGGTGGAGCAGGTCAGAGGGGCCACCGCGTTAAAGGCAAGGATAGAGGCCGAGGCGTTGTAGTAGAGGATGCCGCTGCCTGGCGTCCACGACATCACAGCGGTGTTGGTGTCACAGTCCAGGGTCGCCTGCAGACCGCTGTGGGGACAAGGACCTGGACAGAGAGGGACATTTAAATACACAATTGCTGTGTATGGTATAAACTAAGAATGAGTTTTGAGGGAATTATTAACACGCCTGACACTTGCTCTAAATAAAATACATCTCTTTAAAAGACTAAACACTTAAATACTGCTTTATGATTATTATTATTATCACTGGCTGTTTTCTCTTAGTTAGACTTTTCAACTACTGTAACAAAATCTGTCATAACTCAATATATATGTTTACTTTCACTACTGTTATCTGGCTGCTATTTCACTACTTCTACATGCTACACTTATTTTATACATTTTATAAAACAGTTACCATACTTATGGGTGTCCACCTGGATGGGTACTTTTGTACATTTTATTTGTGTAATTTCTATCTCAAATATGTTATGCATGCCTCTTATTTAATATTTCGCTATTTTGGCTCTTTACTTTTTCCGTAACAATGGAAATGTCCCCTCTGTTGGGTTAGGGTTTGGGGGGCTGAACGAATAAAGGTTTGCTGATATTGATCCTGGTTTAGAGGCACCTAGTGGCGACCATAGGAAACAGTGGAAAATGTGTTTTTCAGCACAATGATACAGAGGTTGCTTATTAGCCCAATAATTTATGTCAGCAAGTCTCCAAAAAGTTAACTCGTCAGGTAAAGTGGTATCACACGCAACATAAACAGTAATAGTCATGAATCCTTAGACTGTCATTTGTGTGTTCTTATTCCTGACAAATTACTATTGATAGAGCTTATCAATGTCAGCTATAGCTGATCATTAGACTGCTTCATAAGACTGCATAAATGTAATCCTTAATCCAATAAATTATTATTATTATTATTTTTCTGCTAAATTCATTGAATTGTTCAGCACCCTGTATTGCACATTTTCATGGAAGTTTCCTGTCCAAGAAATGTAATTTTCACAAATCCTTGTATCCTGTAGCTTACAGTTAGTAGCTCATGTTGGCAAGGAATCTGTGGAAATGTGTGTGTCCTGATAAAGCCAAGGCTGATCAGCAAAAATTCATAAGATCTGTCTCTCTCATAAGTTCTGGTTATGTTGTAAATATTCATGACTGCATTTGTTAATTAACTTTCATTACCTTTCAGGCATTGTGTTACTTTGCAGAGACACATGCAGCATCTCAGTCACCGTTTATCAGCTGATTTGCTTTTGTTTCATTACCTGTGGAGGCGTTGACGGACTCGCTGAGCAAACTGACGCAGGACTCATGGCGAGCCACCACTGAGATGGAGTAGTCCTGCCCGCACACCAGGTTAGGGAAATCACAGTTGGTGTCCGTGCTGTTACATTCAGCTTTGTGGCCGAGGTTTCCCCAAGCATAGACGGTGTAAGATGTGGCCCCTTGAGCTGAGTCCCACATCACCACAGTGATCCCAGTCCCACAGTCCACCTGTGCAAAAACGTGGGTGGGAATGCAAGGAGCTGGAGGGGGGNNNNAACGTTCCGCGGTGCAAAAATAAGTGCGATTAAAATGCGTTAATTTTTTTAACGCGTTAATTTTTGTGTAATTAATTAATCTTAATTAACGCGTTAAAGTCCCGGCCCTAATTTTAATACAAAGTAGGGATGCACCGAATATTCGGCCACCGAAAATGGTTAAAAAGCCCCTTTCGGCTTTCGGCCGAAAGGGGCTTTTTAACCATTTTCGGCCGATCATTTTCGGGCTACGTTGATCATGCTCCGCATATTTGTCCGGGTGTTTTGATTTCAAGTGGTGGAGTAATCCCGAAGTGGTGAAAGTCTTTGCAGTTAAACCCCCTCGAGAAATGTCAGCTGAACACGTTTTACAAATTGCAATCCGAGCCTCTTTCTCTGATATTTTGAAATATCTCCAAGCGCCAGACATGTTGGCTGTGACCCAGCCGCGAGCATGGTCGCGCGCCGTGCTTGTCGCCGCGTTTTGATTACGTCATCACAACAACATGTTAGGTTACCAAACTTATAGGTGCATTTGTTGTTGTTGAAGGCCTGGCTGTTACAGTCTTTATTTACACTATTTTGGTGTAGGCCTACTGGCCTATATGTTTATGCAGTTTTAAAGCACCTTGGCTTTGTTCTGAATGCACTTTGTTTTAGTTATCCTACAGTGAAAATAAAATGCACTTGACTTGGAATTAATGTACTGTATGCATTCAAAAGTGCTGAATAAATGTTTTATGGACCCATAATAGTGATTATTATTTAAGTTAAGTTTAGCCATAATCATGTATTTTTCCATAATCAGGTAGCTGAACAACATTGGTAAAAAATATATACATTATATATATATATATATTTCTATTAATCATTTTCGGCCTTTCGGCATTCGGTTTTCTGCCAACTGTTTCCTATTTTCGGTATCGGTTTCGGCCAAGAATTTCCCATTCGGTGCACCCCTACTATCATTAGCTAGAACTAGCTAAATCTGATCGATATGGAAATAAACGCGAGTGAAGTCTAATCTGACGGGAGAGAGAGATCANTTCCCCACCCATCCTGATGAAAGGCAATTGATCAGATGTTAATATCCAAATATTCGGTGCATCCCTACTTTGTATTAAAATACAATCTTCATTTTGATTATTTGGATATTAACATCTGATCAATTGCCTTTCATCAGGATGGGTGGGGAAAATGGATGCATGGGCAAATAAATGCACTTTATCCTAACATCTACATTTACAATGAGCCTCCTTACCACTGTAAGGGGCAGTAGTGATACTAATTGCTTTAGTTTTGGAGCTGCTCACTGAAACTCCACAAAAAAGGATTCAATAGCCTCCTACGCACACAACCCACTGTCACAACAATCCCACTCTAAGTTCATAGATGGTTACAATCTCAGCCTGCAAACAGATAAAATAGTACCAAGCATTACTGCAGGAAGGCAATAGCAAGGACATTTCAAATTAAATGGTAAACTAATCTTTTTTGAAGGACATTTTTTTTTAGGAAACTTAACTCAATGCTTTAAGAATTTAAGACCTTTAGATATACCACTGAATCAGAAATATTGTTATCATGGTCAGATCTCAATGGCAGGATTTTCAGATGGACTGCTGAACAATCCGTCAAGGAAAGCAGGGCTGCTTTATGAGCTCTTTTTTGTATTCCTAGCCAAGGGAGATTGTTCTCTGTTGTTGGCAGTCTTGCCTGAGAAAGCAGGACGAGGAGTAGCTGTCTTCCTATGGATATGGTCACAGAAAGCATCTGGCCGAAGTCCAATCACAATAAAGCCAGGAAACCCATCCGATAGCATTGCATCATATTCATATTGGAAAAATACCATTGTATTGTTCTCTATGATATACCTTCAGATCACATGTAAATACCCACATAACTAGGGATGCATGGATTCCAATATCAACCAATATTGACTCGGATAGATGGTTTGGCCGACAATGAAAATGATTTGTTTATAAACGGCGTACATACAGTACTTGAGATTTCATCTGTGATTAACCTTTCATAAGCGTGCTGCAATAAAACTGTTTACATTTGAGTTGTTTTTTAACTAAAGCCTTAGAATCAAAAGTGATCCCTGTCTCTTCCCCACAGTGAGGCAAAAAGTGTATTAACTCTAAGCATTCTCAAAAAGCCAGACCGTCCCTTCTCACAAGTGTTACTCTCAATCAATATCCAACTTTACCTTTTGACACATGTAATATACCTTTTCAAAGACATCTGTCACTTGAGACTATTTTAAACAGAGCAGTTTAAAGAAAGATGACAGAAAAAGTTCCATCATCACCACTGTAGGGGCCATAAGCCCAAACCCTGCCAAACATGGGCCCCTGCTGAGATACAAATGGCAGAGCGGTGTCCCACATGCTCCGCTCCACTAACAGCTTGTGTGTTTACCTGAACGTGGCCTTGAGGATCTGTCCAGACGTGCTCTCTTTGGAGTGGTTGTTGTATCCGTAGAAAAGGTCTCCGAACACAGTCTGGTTAGCGGGGATGTCCACTGCCTCGGCGCAGTCTATTCCCTCGGTGCAGGCCTCCGACAGCGGCAGACATGACCTCCCATCTGGACCACGCTTGTAGTCCTCGATGCACCTAAAGGAAAAGTGGTTTGAGTTTTAATTGGATCATACATTTACTTCTGTACATTTGCAGGAGAGGACAAAGCTGCTCATGCTATGACTCCGGTTTGCAGAGATGGCAAAGGTGTACACATCATTTACTCAAGTAGAAGTATAGATACTTGTGTTTAAAAACACTCTGGTAAAAGTAGAAGTACTGACACAACCTCTTTACTCAAGTAAAAGTAAAGAAGTACGGGCTTCAAAATGTACTAAGTAAAAAGTACCCATACTGTAACTACCAACTGTTTTAAAGATTAACTGACTTCACTCTATATTAATAGAGCAATAATGTAATTGTTAGCTAATGAATGTTTCAATGCTGAACGACGGCAACATGACAACGTTTTAATTGGTCCCTCTTCTTTAGAGAAGACCAGGAAATGATGGATACACGGATTGTGTTCAAATCAATAGGCACGCAATGAATCCAAATGATAATGATCACAGCACCAAACACAGATTAAAACTAAAGTAACCAGCCTGTTTTGAAAATGTAAGAAGTAAAAGTACAGGTACTTTAAAATTAAAAAGTTGACAGAAAAACAAGTAGTGGAGTAAAGTACTGATACCAGAAAAATGCACTTAAGCACAGTAACAAAGTATTTGTACTCCACTACTTCCCACCTCTGCCGGTTTGTACCAAGGTCTTTGGTTTGGTTTGGTAATGTTACGTTAGCTCAGCAGATCATTAGAGGTTATCAGTCTGATATGGAAACATTGTCAAACTAATAAGCTTGTTATTACTATAAATGGCCAATTACGCCCCTTTCTACAGTCATGATTACAATTCAATACCACTTATATTATATCTTAGTACATTTGGGCTGAATGGATTTATTTTAGAAAACTAATCAATTCTTATGTAGAAAGGTACAAAAAAAATAAGAAAATCCTGCGGGAGCTCAACAAGAAGCAGCTGCATTTTCATTTCATAATATTCAGGTAGAGAAAAGGGAACATTTTTGATAATGCTTGGCTCCAACCATTACAAGCTTGATTTAGAGGAAATAATTACATGCAATTTTAATCACAAACAATTTGATAAATTACTACTTTAAATTGTCAAGTTTCGTCAAAGCCGTAGCATTAAAGTTGGGCTACAGTGTTTTTTTGACCAAGTGTATGTTTAAGAATAAAAAGGAACCTTGCACGACCTCAACAACAAATGGCTTTATTAATACATTTTTTAATTTTTGTTTTTTTTGTAATAACGCTTGCCTCTAACATATAACTTTTTTTGTTTAACTTGTAGACACATTTAAATGACAAACGCAATATCAATTACAATGATTGAATGTTTTAATGTATTGCCTTCAAAGCCTTAGCATTATCCTAATGTAATGAACATGGATAATGAGATTATACTGTACTGCAACACCCAAGTGGTACGGTGAGGCGCTTTTAGTTGCTACTACTGTATGAACACATTTACAAGTAGACTGTTGGCAGTCATGAATATTGATTAAAAGTTTTGCAATTTAATATTTTTGAAGTTATATTCTGCAGCATTTCCACTGTGTTGAAAACATGAACGTTTCAGTCAACAGTGTAGAATAAGCCAAATCAATTCTAGTAAAGTGGCACAAAATCCCCCATCTGAAAAAGGAGAGACACACTGAGAAGCGTCTTAAGCTCTTTCATATTCATGATGTTTTGACATATCGGTGTACAATATACTGTAGAGAACTGGGGAAGGGGGGGTTAAAGAGAGAAATATAATATTTCAGGGATTTCAACTGAGAGAAGCTCTTCTGGATGCCAAATGACTCAAAAATAATGCCAGTCTCCAGTAGGACTGGTCGAGGATTAGCCACATCTGCACAGTGGAGAGTGACAACAAAATGCTGTTGTTAGGAATACAATATAACAGCAGTGTGTATGTATACTGTGCCTGCAACATCATGTGTAATGTAAAGATGACAACAGAAACAACAGCTTGTAGTGTTCAACTACAACTCAGCTGCTTCCAGGATCTGGTGCTACTTTGTCACATCTCTTTAGAACTCAAATAAACTAGAACTAGAAGGCCTCCACAGCTAAAGTTAAATATGTTGTTTATAATACAACTTTAGCTTGTTAGAGCAGAAAATATGAAGAACTCTAACTTTGGACCACCTGTAGAGTTAATATGTACACGCCATGCAGGTATTTTTTTGTTATTCTGGCAGATTAGAACTCTGATGTTTTTTCAAAATCATGAAATCCATATGAGATTAATGATCAAATGATCTCAGGTGCAATATCATTAGTGGTGAGGAAGATGTTATTCATTCTATACGTGTCCACACAGTCTTGAAAGGAGGTCTCATTAGTGTATTAAGTGAAACCCCTGAGGGGCTTTAGCATGGCTGTGAACTGGCTTTAGATTAAATGATGCAGGTCTCCATATAACGCATCATAACATGAGCTGATGCCATGTTTCCACTGCACCCTACCATCTGCTCGTCTCCCTTTTGACAACCATACATTTTCTATATTCGGTGTTCCATTGCAGATCGTACCCCCTTATTGTGGTATGATGCACTTGTAGCAATGCAATATGTAACTGCGGTGACATCATCTTAAACAGGACCCTCTATGAAGCATTTAATCTGCAACAAAACAGAGGAATGTCTGCACTTTGTCCATTGTACACACAAGTGTTTGAGGCTTCCAAATGTAGTTAATACAAACATGTGATTGCTGTAAACCATAGCTTGGCTTTTTGAAAAAGGCAGGTTTGTGCAGGTTCTGTGTTGTGCTAGCAACAGTTCTCTCCATCCAGTCAGTCGTCTTTATTGACTTAAAGGTCGCTTATAATGCACAATCCACTTTTTCATGTATTTTATACATAAACATATGTCCCCTCTGTGTAAAGAGATTCTGGACGTTTCAGGAAAAAATATTTGCTCACTTGTTGTCTTGATCCATAAAAACCTGTCTGAAAATGAGCTGATCAGATTTTGGCTACTTTATGATGTCATAACAATGTTTTGGCTTGTGTAACTATTAGCCAATAACCAACCAAGGTAAACCCCCCCTTCTTTATCACCTGAATCTCTTCCTAGACTTCCTTTAACCAAATATCTCTCAGAGGGGCGTGGGGTGTCTCACCTTATTTGCATCTAAAGTAACATACAGAGAATCAGCACTTTTGAAACAGGGCTGAAACAGAGGGGTTTATGGGATGCTACAATGATATGTTGGTATTTCGAGCCAAACACTTCAGAGACATGTTTTGTATATATGTGAGACCTATAATATATTGATGAAAAACAGTATAATAGGGGACCTTTAACTCTACCTTCTGGTATCGGCTCGGCTCTGTTTCAACCTTAGACCAAGGGTTACTAAAAAGTACCAGGTTTTTTCCACAATCTTTGTCAATGGAAAACCCAAAAAGAGTGTGTCCAGTAGAGTACAATGGTATCAAATCATGCAGTAGAATTGTGGATAGTATAACCTTATATCTGTAGTAATGGGCCTATTTTAAATGAAGGCATTGTGACATGTGACACCTCCATTAAAATGTAACAGCAATGAGAGGAAAGAAAAATAACTATGTCTGCATTTTACACATACTTTTGTATGTAACGATCCAGCAACATTCAGTATTTTAGAGCTTCTGCTCCAAAACATTTCGAGTATTGAATGTTCCAATCAGGATTTTATTCTTGTCATGGCCTCTAAAGTACTCAGAAGCTGATGTTTGTTTCTCGTTTATTTTTATTGATGTGTCTGATGTCTGCTGATGAAGAGATGCATCATTCAAGGCAGCTGAAATTCCTGTAAAATCAGCTCCTGGATGTTTTTTTCTACATCGTAGTTGCCATGGTCACAATGTCTAATAGTTGGACCATTATAAACAGCAAAAAAAAGCTGTTGGCTTTCTGGGTGGCAAACACATGCCACGAGCACCTTAGATGTCAGCAATCACAGTTACATTGGTACTGTAGCTGCAGCTTACTGGATTGGACAGTCTCCAGGAGGCTGTATGACAGGATGATCACTTGTGTAGATGTCTTTGGTTTATTTACTTCATTGAGACAATTCTAAAATAAAAGTTCCAACCTGATGTAAGTCATATCAATTTGTAGGATGCCTACAGTAAATAGACTCATACAAATGAATCACTAACAGATATGATGGTTATCATTATGGGTGATTTTAGGCAGGACTGAAACTCCCTCATCACCCCTACTTGCCTCCATGCCTGTCAGTTTAACCAAAAAGACCATCTACAACAAATAAATTGCTCACTTACTCTACCAACTCCACCAAGGGTTCTTTCTAACAAATAGTGTGTTTGCTGTCCTCAAAGCAGTGTAACACTGATGCATTTTTTATTTTGTTTCGACAAGCAAGATTCAGCCGGACTTTACGCTAGCTAAACACATTTATTTCTGAAAAATTTAGCAAGAACATGGAGAATGTACTTATTATATATATTAAGATCTCTGTATTGAATTGCTGTTGGACATGAGCAGGAGGGAATATACAGTAGATAAAGCACCAGATGATGGTCTTTTATAGACATTTTGTAAGGGTCACTTGGTTTACTGGCTGGAGGTACGATTGAAAAGCCTCAGTTTTATGCGGCTGTGTTTAAAATAAATTGAGAATGTTATCATTGATCTTCTTGATCTGTTGAACTTATAATGAAGTATACATCGTATAGAATCTATATTAAATGTCATTAAAGATGGCAAGGGAAAGGAAGTGACTTTGAAAGAGAGTACAAAGGGCACCTACAGGGCACCGGGGCTCACAGAAAGAAGAGAACATATTTGCGTGGCTGGAAATGAGCGAGCCAAGCCCTGAAGGCTTTCACTCTCTCTGCTGACAGGCGGGCTGTAAAGGGCACTGAATTCAGGCGTAGGCCCAGGAAGAGTACAGTCTGGGCTGGGGACAACATGCTCTTTTCTGTGTTTATTACGAAACCCAGGTCGAACAGGTGTTTTACGAGGACATTCGTCTGCGTAATAGCCTCCATCTCCGACTGTGCGAGAAGGAGCCAATCGTCCAGATAAGTTGCCAGGCGAATACCCTGTTGTCTTAACGGGGCTATCGCGGCTTCCGTACAAACACTCGTGGGCTGAGAGACAGACCGAAGAGAAGTACTCGTAACAGCCACCCTGAAAGGCGAACCTCAGATATTTCCTGTGTTGATAATATACAGGACTGTCTCAGAAAATTAGAATATTGTGATAAAGTTCTTTATTTTCTGTAATGCAATTAAAAAAACAAAAATGTCATACATTCTGGATTCATTACAAATCAACTGAAATATTGCAAGCCTTTTATTATTTTAATATTGCTGATTATGGCATACAGCTTAAGAAAACTCAAAAATCCTATCTCAAAAAATTAGAATAGTTCCTCAGACCAAGTAAAAAAAAAAGATTTATAACAGCAAAACACAATCAAACATTTGAAAATGTCCATAAATGCACTCAGTACTTGGTTGGGAATCCTTTTGCACGGATTACTGCATCNAAGGAACTTCTCAGATATACGTTCAAAAACATTATAAAACTATAGACGGAGACACTATGTAAAATAGGGAGAAAATTACCCAAGGTCATATGCAATGTCATTAGAAACACTTAAATAACACTATTCCATCACTGATGCTGGATTAACGTTGCTCGATAGCCACAGAAAACTGACATTNTTTTTACACCCCGTACATTTACCTTAAAGTTACTTTCCAGATTAAGTATCAATAATACGAAGAGTTTATGAATAAGACGCTATTTGCTTTGTAAGATTGCAACTGCAATCTTACAAAGCAAATAGCGTCTTATTCATAAACTCTTCGTATTATTGATACTTAATCTGGAAAGTAACTTTAAGGTAAATGTACGGGGTGTAAAAAATCCGACTACCCTTGCCTCTTAAAGTGTAATCAACATACTACCAATATAACATTTTTAAGGATTACACCAGAAAGCTTGTATGCCTTTGTATCACTTGGTTACTTAATAGAATAGGGTATCAACAATAGTTGAAGGAACTTCTCAGATATACGTTCAAAAACATTATAAAACTATAGACGGAGACACTATGTAAAATTGGGTAATTTTCTCCCTATTTTACATAGTGTCTCCGTCTATAGTTTTATAATGTTTTTGAACGTATATCTGAGAAGTTCCTTCAACTATTGTTATACCCTATTCTATTAAGTAACCAAGTGATACAAACATACAAGCTTTCTGGTGTAATCCTTAAACAATTGTTATATTGGTAGTATTTGGTATTACACTTTAGAGGCAAAGGTAGTCATTTTTTACACCCCTACATTTACCTTAAAGTTACTTTCCAGATTAATATACAAATAATACGAAGAGTTTATTGAATAAGACGCTATTTGCTTTGTAAGATTGCAACTTTTGAAAGAGTTTGATATGTATTTATTATTGATTATTCAACCAATGTTGAGTTCTTAGTGTTGCGGGGAAGACATTTTTTTTTAAATCACACTAGTTGCATCACATTGTGTACCAACCAAGCCTAAAAAGCATTAAGATACAGTAGTACCTGTAAGAGTTTTTAAGTACACTGGCATACCTATATTTGTATTGTTACTGCTCTTGATTACATAGTGATGTTTTAGTCCTGGAGACCATGAATTTCCAATAGCGTGGACTGTGTGTTATCCTTTGCTAAGCTTTAACTACCTGTGTTGAGCCTTTTTGCAACAGCTGGGTCGCTGCTGCATGTGTTTGTGTAGCCGACCACATTGATGACGTAGCTCTCCCCGCAGCTCAGCTGGTCGAAGGTGCAGTTGGAGCTGCTGGAGTTGCAGGTGGAGGTCATCCCTCTGCTGTCCACTGCCGACACCGTCTGGCTCTGGTCTGGCCCGGAGTTTTCCCAGGTCACCACCGCCATGTCAGTGCTGCACTGCAGATCCACCAACACCCCATCTGGTTTACATGGGGCTGAGGGTGAAGAGGTAAAGGAGTTAGAGTCAAATAATACATATATTTTATTTAAATAGCACCTTTTGTGCACATGTTGCAGCTCAACCGGGTTTCTATTATAAATCTATAAACTATAAAACTTTTTGGTTATAGGCATTAAGCTGTATTTAAAATATGCTTTTTTCAGATGGTGTTTGTTGAGGGCAGAGACTTAAATGACAGAGTTTCTTATTTGTGATCATATTTGCAATATGTGATGTATTATGTTAGAATGCAGAAGTTAAGGTTAAGAAAAGTTAAGGAGTAGTGAGTTTTATGTAGATTGAGACTTAGGCTCTTTTGCTACCTGATTGCATTATGTAGTCGGAGCCCCTGATGGTGCCACAGTTAACTGATGGTGTTGTGACGACAATGCTGTAGGTGACGCCACAGTTTAGGTTCTGGATGCTGCAGTTGGTGCTGGTGGAGTCGCAGGTTACACGGGTATCGTCACTGCCGATGGCGATCGCTGTGTAAGAACCGACATCGCTAACTCTCGCCCTCCACTGCACTGCGAAGGAGTTGGCGGTGCAGTCCAGGTCTGCTTTCACACTGTCAGGCAGACACTTAGCTGTGGGAAGTAAAAGGGGAGAGGGGGAGAATCATTGGTTTTGAGCTACATAACATTCAGAGCAACCTGGAAATATGCAGGTATCATTTACCAGAGTCAAAGGTTAGAGATTCTCCCAGACTGCTGTTGCACGTCTCACTGAAAGCAAACACAACTGCTATGTACTGGAGTCCACAATCCAGCTTCACTGAGCAGGTTGTTGTGTTGGATGAACAGGAAGTTACATGGCCTTGGGGACCGGTCACTGTAGCGCTGTAGGAGATAGCATGGATACTTGGTGCCCAGGACAGCGTTACAGAGCTGGTGCCACAGTAGGCTCTGGCAGTCAGGTTGGTGGGAGGACACGGAGCTGGCAGGAAAGAGAAGGTAAGGTACTTTTATTTATATAGCACATCTTCAAAGTACTTTACATCAACATTAACACTTAATAAGAAGAACAAGAACAACTCAGCGTTGGTGAAGACTGCAGGTTTTCGGGAAGTTTGTTCCATTTTTGGGGTGCATAAAAACCAGAAATACCAACATATCACCCTGTGTTCTTAACAGAAATAGGATTAAAAAAACGACATTCACAGATATACAACCAGCTTTTAGATCTGCATTGTTGTAAGTCAGCATTCAAGACATGTCTTTACGTTATACTAACCTGTTTCAGTTTGAATAGGCTCGGTGAAGATGCTGGTGCACTCATCATCAGTGGCAGCGACCTTTAGGGTGTACAGCTCGCCACACTTTAGCCCAGCGAGCACATGGGATGTCATGGATGTGGTGAAGTTGGCAGTGGCCCCGTCATCCTCCTGAGAGTGGAGTAAGTACTCAACACCACTTTCTGGACTTGGGTCCCAGCCCACTCTGATGTCACTGTTCCTGCAGGTGGACAATCCCATCAGTCCGGTGGGTGGGCAGATGACTGAGAACAAGAGATAAAACTGTAAATTAAGTGATTCCTTTACGTATTTCTGCAGATCAGCAACAATATGACAACAGTTCAAACAATACATAGAATAATAATTAAGATGTTCTTGTACGTAATAAACATGTAACGATATAACCAATTTCTCATATTAACACATTGATCAAATTAATATTTTGTTCATATTAACATATTGACAAAGTCTGTGTTGAAGTGGAATTTTGGGAATTAAATTCATGTTATTTTCTACTAGGTAAGAATACACTTTTTTATCCAAACAATTACTAAACTATAAATAAAGCCAAAAAGGGCAATTGCTGTTTATTATATACAGCTTTGAAAACAGTATTTAAAAACACAAATAAATTGACATTTTAGGAAAGCCTGGCTCTGTCCAAATCTCATTAAAAAGCTCCTTGTATCCAAATAACAGCTCTCGAAGAAATTAATAATCTCCTTTAATATCCTTCTGTCTCTAGTCTTCATTTCACCCATGCACTCTTCTCATAGTAAGTAATCCAAAAGAACACTATCTAAGTATTCGTTAAATATCCATGTATACATTCTCTGACCTGACTGGAAAGTAAAAGGCAGACTGGGCTCGCTCATGCAGCCACTCTCAATGGTAACCACGGTGACAACGGCCGTCTCGCCGCAGTAGAGGTCCATGAGGGAGCAGTTTGTCCCGTTGGAGGTGCAGGTGTTGTTGTGCCCACCCACAGTAGAGGGTACCGCTGTGGCCACGTACAGGTCTGCTTGTAGGGCAGCTGTCCAGGTCACAAAGCCCACGTTACCGACACACTGCAGGAACACCTGAACACTGGTGGGGGGGCAGGGGCCTTAAAGGAGGAGGAGAAAGAGAGAGGAGGGTTAGGTTGAGTGGACACAAGGCAACAACAATGTTAAATAATGAATCTAATACAAGAACTAAGATACCTGTGGCATGTTGCAAACAACCTGAACTTTTATTAGGAACACTTATAGTAACACATAATGTTACACAGTATTACACATATTCATTTATTGGTTTAAAAATAATTTAAGTATTTCCATCCCAATTACTAAAAGTTCTCATTATGCAGAATGGCCCATTTCATAATATTATAAAATTAGGTTGTAATTATTGTGCACATCACTTAAAATGTGCACCTGAAATATGTGCAGCTAATTTTAATCACATCAATATACTGCTGTTGGGAATTTCCTCCCAGGATTAACTAAGTCTTCTTTTCATCTACACTGTATCATCATTTATTTGTCTACTGTTTTGCTTAGCTAAAATAACTTAAGGTAAAGTAGTTTAGTATAAAATACAATATTCGCTTCTGAAATGTAGGTAAGTAAAAGTTAAAAAATTAAAATGAAGATACTAAAGAAAAGAAAAATTGTACTTTGTTAATTACTTGGTAAATATACTTTCCACCACTGACATCTGGTGGTATCTGGAGGAACTGCATCAACATTCAGTATGCCTCATTAACCATGAACAACCAATGAAGCACACGTTTAATATTTGTATTTTACTACTTTGCATTCTAATTTAATAGAATGACATAGGACTGACTTGATGCCCATTTGTGTCAAACTTCATGTGTCCAGCTCACCTGCAAGGTAAGTGTGTGGGTAGCTGTACATGCCCTGGCAGTCATCAGAGAAGGGGGTCACAGTGATCAGGTAGATCTGGGCGCAGTGCATGTTGGGAATGAGACAACTAGTGCTGTTAGTGTTGCATTCTTTGGCATCGCCATCTCTTCCCATTGCCTTCACATTGTAGTGAACCGCACCCGGGCTGAGCTGCCAGCTCACCGCCGCCGTGTTGTTGTCACACACCAGCGAGGAACTGACATTCATGGGAGCACAGGGGGCTGATGGGAAAACAAAATAGGAAACATAATTAAATGAAAGCAAATTGCTTACACCTACTTGTATTTTTTAGTAAGGTGTCTCTCTATTCAACAATTGTCATCTTGTAGACTGTTGACACATTATATATTATATACTTTTTAACATTGTCCTTCACCCGCTCTATTTCCCGTAACTGTGTCATCACTTCCTACTTATAAATGTACACCATGATATGAAGATATTTTTAACCGACTCAGCCTCATGGCATGGATTTCCCTTTGGATGTTTACCAAATTCAGCCTGCTTATAATGACTTTTTTCTATTTTAAAGCTAATCATTTTTTTTTTTTTTTATTGTTATTATAATTATTGAAACACTAATGTGTTATTCACTTTAAAGTTGCAGCTGGTAAAGGAGGGGCTAATCTTAATTACCTTATACACTGGCGTTTAGGTAAACCTATAATAATAATAATAATAATAATAATCATAATTGATTAGGATTAATTTATGTTTTGTATTTTTAGGCTGAATCTATAAAGTAATTCATAACTTAATTGTGGAGTGGAGTTAGAAGTAGAATATTTGTTTCCAAAATGTAATCGAGTAGATGTAGAATAACATTTATATTATCACATAAAGTACAGGTACCCGAACATTTTATTTATATTTATTATTTAGATCCCATCATGTCCTTTTCGCTCTCCTACCTGTCTGTATTTGAGTTCCCCCTGGCACGCTGCTGTTGCAGTGGTCGGCCACAGCGATCACGTTCACGTCGTACATGCGTCCGCAGAGCAGCGATGTCAGGGAGCAGTCGGTCTGCGTGGTGCTGCACGACACCATGTGGTCTCCAGAAGACACTTCAGCGTGGAAACTCTTTCTTCCCAAAGTCTCGTCCCAGCTCAGGAAGACGATGCCAGTAACACAAGAGTATGTGTACTCCACGTTTGCAGGGGTACAGGGCGCTGGGTAAGAGGGGAGTGCAGTCAGTTCCTGAACACTTCATACTTGAATGACCTCCTGAACACTTTATCCAGCCCACCACTAAAAAAAGAACTCAACTACCTGTGACAATCTGAAAAGAAGGACTGGGTTCGCTCGCACACTGGACTCCTTGAGCGACGGCCTGGACGGTGTAGGTTTGTCCACACTGCAGCAGCTCCAGGACACAGCTGCTGTTGGTGGAGCTGCAGGACGTCCTCTGTCCCTGGGTGGAGGTGGCGTTGACTGTGACGCTCATGGCATCCTCGTCTTTAACCCAGGTGACCGTAGCATTGTTGGAGTAACAGTCCAGGGAGTAGTCAATTTTCTCTGGAGCACAGGGGGCTGGGCAGGGGATTGTCATATGTCATTCATTTGTCTTTTGAGAGGAAGCTTTTGTTGAGATACAGTCTAGAAAACTAATCTCATCAACAAACAGGTGCAGTCTTTAAGGGTTATTTCAGAAGATCTCTGAGAGTAGCAGGTGGGTGGTTTTTTTACTTCATTTTAGCAATCGTCATTCACATAAAAGTTATTATAATGCTTATAATTGTTATATTACTAAACTTAATTTATATTTAATTTTTCAAAACAAAGTTTGAAACACAGCAATCGAGCAATGATTACCACTTTTAAACTGTCTAAATGTTGTATACATTTTACCAAACAGAGGTGTATATAAGAAAAACCAAAAAATGAAATAAGGCAAAATTAAAAGTAAAAATAATCAATTAATAAAAAATGTAAGAAATACCTTTGAATATAAATATAATTTTAAGAAGTGACTTAATAGAAAATAAACCCTAAAATTGGATCGTCAATAAACTCAAAATGATCAGCAGCAGCTTCCAGGTAAATGAAACTGCTCCTCCTCATCATCACTCCTAATTGTGTGTATGTTTACCTGTTGTTACGTTGGTTTTGGCGTGTATGGAGCTGTTGCACTTCCCGTCCCCTGCCAGCACGGTCACAGTGTAGTCCCCCCCACACTGCACCTGGGTCAGCTCACAGGAAGAGCTGCTGGCCTCACAGGAGTCTGTGTGTCCGTTGGCTTCAGCAAGGACAGTGTATTTATCTGCTCCGGAACTGTCAGACCAGGTCACATCCACCACGCCCGAGCTGCAATGCAGAAGGGCTGCCACATCTGTGGGGTCACAGGGAGCTGGAAGAGGGGGGGGGAGATGTAAGCTGTATGTATAGCATGAGCAGAAAACTGAGGTTACCTACTGTAACCCCAGCTTCTATGAGTAAATGGCGCAGCCCTCTAAGGCTATCGCTATTGGGTAATCCCCCTGCGCCCCCGCGCCGCACTGAAACACTTGTAGTCCACGCCCACCCGCAAGGTGGGCCCCACCCTCGGGCCTCCTTCCGGTATAAATAGGAAGGAGGCCCGGCAATCTGCTCCCATACAAAATAACTTTTCTTCAGTTATTCGTAGAGCCAGTGGGGCCCAGCGCTTAGAGGGCTGCGCCATTTACTCATAGAAGCTGGACTTACAGTAGGTAACTTCAGTTCTATTTCGTATACGGCTTAGCCCTTTAAGGCTATAGGTATTGGGTTAAGGGCGAAGCATGATATAGTCTGCACCCCACTGGGTCCGCCCGGCACTAGAAGCACAGACATACCTGCTCAATAACACCCCCCTGCCTGTTGTGCCATGCGTAATGGCGCATCACCGTCCCTGGAACATAGCAAAACATGCCTATCTTCCCGACGGGGTGAAGGCTGGGAACAATACATACCGGCCGCTGTGAAAAGTAGAGACGAAGATCATACTTTGCCCAGTGACAAAAAGAGGGGGAACAGCAGCTATCTGCGTGCAGACAGGCAGGAGAGCGCACGGCTGGATCCCTGACGTCACTCACTCTGACAAGACACTCCGTACAAAATGTGTAAGAGGAAAAAAAGGAAACATCCCTCTCATAAGAGGGAAAAAGGGCCGCTCTCCGCGTGCCGAGAGGCAGGAGAGAGGCGCACAGCTGGATCCCTGACGTCACTCACTCTGACAAGACAGGGTGTGTCAGAGAGGAATGGGAGACATCCCTCCAAATAAAAATGAATAAATGAACAGGGGGAAGACCAAGATGCAGCAGTGCAAATGTCTTCCACTTACATTCCTCCGTGCAAAGCCATGGAGGAGGACATTCCTCTGGTGGAGTGCGCATTGATGTTCTCCGGGGGATCCACCCCAGAGGAGACATGCCTGTGACACAGCCTCACACAGCCAGTGTGACAGCCGTTGTGCAGACAGAGGCTGCCCGATCGAGCGCTCTCTATAATGCACAAACAGGCGCTGAGAATGGAGCAAGGCAGCCGTGCGCGCCACTAGCAGGACAGCGCGCGCACAGGACAGAGGA